GAAAAAGGCAGTGTGGAATCCTACAGGCTTCCTGACTTTCCTTCAACTTTCAAGGTCTTGCAACATCTATAAGGTTTATGAGGATCCTGAGTCTGTCCTTGGAGTATCTGGAGCTCCTGTTCTTTGGTCTTGTAAAATGCTATAGCTCTTAAAGGTCTCCACAGCTCTGGATACACTTGAGTGATACTGCTTTATGAAACTTAAGGGGCAGCCCATAAGTTCTTTTTTCTCCTATATTTCTTGTCTTGCACAAATTACTAAAAGTCTACATTGGATCACAGATTACCTCACCTGATGTTTAAACTATGCAAGCTTTCTCTCCCTAGTGCACTTCTTGTCAGGCAGAATTACTGAAGGGTGAGGCAGATTTCTTTAAATGTACTCTCATAAAATTGTTACTGCCTTTTGGGTTTTTTTTTTTTTGAGTGAGTGAACTTAGAGGCAAAAGGCTTGAACAGTGTTTGTTAAACTGCTGTCAGATTTACTAGCAAATGATTGCATGAATAATTCCCATTCTATAAAGTTGTTATCAGTGGTAAATGTAGAGTTCAGAAAATCGAGGGTATTGCTCTAGCTAAAGCTGACCAGTGACTCTGATAGCTTGGGACTAAAAACCAAGCTGACCATCTCTGCTTTGCAGAGAAAATTACAGGGTGCCACATTCCAGCAAATCTATTCTGGCTCAAGTAAGTGCCAGAATTGTTAAAGAAGCCAGAGAAACATATGGAATTTGAATAAGCAATATGTTCCTTCATTCCTCAAGACCTCAGGCCTCTATGGCTTGAGCTAAGAAACACCCAGTGAAAAGATGAGAGAGGAAGATTTTGTGTCTCTCAGGTGCAGATAGCTAACAAAAGCTTACTTTTGTGCCAAAGTCCTGGCAACAGCTAATAGTTTTGTTTAACTACAGCATCCTTGATTCAAAGATTACCCCAGCAAAGAACATCTAAGATTTAAAAAGTAGATCGCTCAAAAGCTCAGCGGCAGCAATTTATGAACGAGAGTACATAAAAATATTATGGGCCAGAATCTAAACTCAAGGTAGCCATTACCTTTGAACTTTTCTGAATGCTCCGTTTCAGAGTAAATATGGAAGATTAATCATGCAGATGTAGCCCCAATTACAGAGACAACAGAGAGCCCAGTAGCATCATGGCAGATTTTGGAAAACCTGAAGAGAAACTGCATCTGCTCTGCCTCCAAATAAATGTAGTGATAAATTTTTATTTCTCATTTTAGACAGGGGCAGTGTGAATCTCTGCAGCTTGTTATCAGCATTGCATTCTAATTCTAATTCTCACTCTAACTGAGGATGCCTGACCTATAGCTTTCAAGCTGTGAGCAGCTCGTCAGGACACTTCACCCAGACCATAACCTCTGCCAAACAGTGAAAACTTCAGTCTTCCCAACCTAAGTTTATAGCTTGGAATTAATATTTACTGTTTGGTTGCCACAGGAAAAGATTCAGGCTGCAAAATTATTTTGGCAGTGGCAGCAAATCATTGCCGACCACCACCCTGCCTCTATTCCTTCCCCTCCACAACATGAGGGATGCAGGTGTAGTCATATGGCATAGAGAGAGCTGCAATATTCAGACCTCTCCCACCAGCAGATGAAAATAGGTGATCCATGTGACCATAAAGGGTGGATGCTTCAGCTGTATGGATTACAAAGAAAAGTGATAAAGCCCACAAAGTTTATGTTAATTCTGCACAGTTGTGTAGGGCAAGTCACCATACCCATCTCCTCTGCAAATACTGAAGCGCAGCATTATTAAAGCCTCATAAAATTAAAACATACAGGTAGTCTCCTCTAAAATCAACAAGGAGTATAAGCAACCACATTGCTTCATGATCGGAGGAAGTGTTTTGGAAAACAGGAAGACATTTGGAAGACTGCTACCGCCACAACTTCAAATATAACTTTTATCAGGCTACAAAATATTTTCTCAGAAATTATGTTCCCCTATTTTCTTCAGGGATTATCTTGGTATTTCCAAACTCCTACTATTTCAAAGTCTCTTTGAAACTATACAGCAGTACACTCCACACATCAACCTAGAAACATTTTCAGCATAAAAACAAAAAGACCCAACAAGCTAACAACATCTTTTCCAAGAAGCTGAATAGACAAGTTTATTTCCTAGGACCCAGCTGAGCAGGATACTCAATATATTTAAGCAAGCACAAGTGTACCCCAGAGAGTTCAATGGGACTAGCCACATCTCTTACATTATATACACACTTAATTACCCTGCACAGAACCCCTTGATGCTTTTTTTACTCCAGTTTGTCTAGGTTCCAGAACCAATAAAATGTACAAGCTTCCCAGATGACCTCTTGAAGACTTCAGGCAAAGGAACTAAACTCCGAGAAATATATCACCTTTGAAACAGCTTATGCTTACAGGAGTACAAAAAGTCAGTTACACACTACAGGACTGTAGCTGAAAAATAGTTCAGGATCATTTTCTTCATCTAGTGTAACCTTTTCAAATTAAGTTTCAATTTCATGCTATCAGAATATATTTTATGGCTCTTTCCAGTTCTGGCCACATGGAACGCTACTTTATAGGATATATCCATCTGTTAACAGAAGAGAAGATATTAAAGCAAGTAATGGTACAATTATATCTCTGGAAGTAAGATATTCTATTGGAAGTTTATACCAGGAGGACGCTATAGAATGCACCAGACTTTTATGTAACTTTTGGATTGTTGCCCCCTCTCAGCAGGCTAAACTACTACACTAGTGTCAAGCATCAGTTATTGATAAGCCACCTTACCCAATGCTCTTCCTCTTGTTTTAGCCTATTTTCATATTCACATCAAGCCTGAGGTGGCATTATAAATAGTTTGTCTTGTCGGTAACATCGGAGTCAGGGAACAGAGTAACAGTTCTGTAATTCTTAAATTTCTGTTCATGGCTCATATCCTCCCTTTCACGTTACTCCCAACTTTGACTTCACTGCTCTTGAGCAGAAGTAAGAGAAGATTCAAATCAGCACTGTTTTCCTGGGCCAGGAATCAATGGATTAGGACGGGCGATTTTCAGCTTTTGCGCCATGGTCATAACGTAACTGCAAAAAGCAAAGAAAGCTTCCCAACAAAATTTTTCACACCACTGCTGGAAAACTATGCAGGGCATGTAAATTGGAAAAAATCAAAACCTACTGGGGGCTAGATAAAAATCTAACAAAATCATAATGTATTAGAAAGAAAGCCTACTGGATCCCTCCTTATTTCTTCTCGCAGACACAGCAGGACCACCATCCCATACATTTCCCAGTGTTTGATTCCCTTTTCCTTCCTTCCTTCTTTCTGACTACACAAGTCTCAGGTTCTTCTACGTCCTTAAGTTTCCCCAGGATAACACATTAATTTTCAGGAAGGCAGGAACAATAAATCCAGATTTGTTACTGAGAACAAAAGGGAGATAGCAGAGTTTATTCAGAGAAAGAATGACATGAAGAGACCGACTGGTAGGTACGGCCTGTACAGTTATAAGCCTGAAATTTCCAACTAAGATCTGTATCCTCCTGCACTGAGAGCTCTATCCAGATAACACTGAAAAGAAGGTTCCTGCCTTGAACAAACTGCAATTTAGAGCACAACAGAGCTTCTCAGCACGTGGTCTTGGCCTCACACAAACCTGCAAAGATTTCTAAAAAAAGATCCTCAGTGAAATTGCGGCTGATTCCCTCCCTGCGGTATACAGGAGAATGGGGATGGGAGTTTTCTCTGAAATGAAAGCCTTGCTGGAAACTTCGCCTGTCTAAAGCCAGGGGTTCTTTTTTTCAATGAGATATCGCTCTTAGAGAAAGTGGAGCATAAAGAATCTGGTTTTAACTGTGATGATAGATAAGAGTTTGGCCACCCATCATCTTCCAAAGAAAAAGAAGAAATAAACAAAAACACCTAAATTCTAGTCCTCTTCAGGCTACAAGATCACCTGCATTTCCATTTTCTATATGGGAGGTTCCTGCCCAGATGCTGAGCTGTCTCCACCTTTCTGGACGTGAACCTTGCATGAATGTCCAGCAGGCCTGTCAGACGCCATGCAAACCTGTCACTCCATTCTTGACAGTTAAGTAAACAAAGATATGTATTATAATAAAAAAAAATAAAATCTGTGTCTCAGAGAAGAACAAAGAGGGCTGTTCCAGAATAAACAAATATCTGACATTATTCTTCTAAGTATTAATCTTTTCCAAGGCTTTGAAGTTTGACAGCGCTATTTCACAAATTCCTATGAGGCTGCTTTACTGCTAGGCTAGAAATCTTACTGTGGAACTAAGGAGGAAAAGAAGAGAAAGATCCCCAAACAGAGAAGAAATATTTTAGTCTGACTGGTGAGTATTTCTATTTCTTGCTGCCACGAATTTTCTGTATCTTGCAAAAATGGAGGGGAGATGACACCTTCCAAAACAAATGGAAATAACTCAATCCCAAATCTGTTATGAAAAATCATCTGCTCTCCTTGACTTTCCAAAAAACCTCCCATATCTTCAGTGAGTTCAATCAAAGTTTGTATAAAGCATAAGCTCATTTTTCAAGCCATGATTTGCCACCTCTGCATTTCTTAAGAAATTTTCTCTTCCCCGTTCTTTTCTATGTGGCAGTTTTGTGACTTTTTAATAATATCTTGGCCACCTAGCAGCAGTGGCAAAAGGCAGAAGAAATCCTTTAAGAGCAAGTTACATGTGACATAGAAATGCTTACACTTCATTAACCTTTATTATAAACTAGTCACTGGAAAAGTTACTTTGCTAGAATCCACACGATGGTTTCACTCTACAAACCATGAAATGTCAGAATGCTAAATTACAGTAAAGTACTACTCACCTCCTTATGAACCCAAGATTAATGATACGGTGCAGAAGGGAATAGCAGTGCTACTAGGAGCGTAACAGGTCACGATCACTTCTAAATAGCTCATCAAGAACAGGCAGCAAAACATCACAGATGGTTCCCAGAACTAAAGTCCCACTTCTCAACCTACCCATCACTGAGACATCGTATTCAACCAGCAGAGTCGCCTCCTGTCCGCATTGTTTGAGAATACTCATGGCTTCAGAGTGTGTCGTTCCCAGCAGTCGGATCCCATCAACACTCAGCAGCCTGTCCCCGGGTTTGATTGTACCCTCTCTGAAAGGAGATTAAAGCAATGATCTTCATCAATATAAAATAAATTGATTTGGAGATAACACCATTTTTATGCAAAGCGATTCTCTCACACTCTCTCTGACATCCACCCCTCTTGCCTTAACACTTAACATTTACTTTGACAGTAAGAACATTCAGAGGGCGCAGAGGAAAGGAAATTGCTTTAATTGGAAAGTCAGTGACTGGAAAACGGCTTAACACAGAGCTAAATAATCAAGTCATGTTAAATTGCAACTAAGTATAGCTTCTGCTTCAACATATGCTTTCTTTCTGCCTTGTCCACACAACTCCTCTTTCATACATAAACACCTCCCTCCCCCGATATTTTCTTAATAATAAATACAAGAGGCAAACATATGGGAGAAGAAACAGATTGCAAAATATGAATGTCCATTTACTGATTTTCTTCAAAAATATCCCTTACTTGGATAATTCCATTTTTCTTTTCTTCCTACCTAAAAATAATTTGGCTATAAACGTACACTGTCTCCCAGGCGTATCTCATAACGTATTCAGAATTATAATGGAAAATGAAGTACTAATGTTGTCAGCTCAAGAATCAGGGAGAAAAACAAGGAAGCAAGGGGGATGAGGGTGGGAAGAAAGGGAGGGACAAAAGATAAAAGCTCTCTTGAAATGTTTGCTTCTCAATTAATGTTTCCAAGGTCAAAAATGTCAACATAAGCCACAGAAAATCAGCCTGCTTTAAAGAAATTGGACTTTAAGTTTCTTTAATGGTTTAAGGACACAAATGCCATTTTTGAAAATATAATTCATACATATAAATAAAGTGAATATTCTTTCTTTATATGGATACAAGATGGTATTACATACAAATGTGTTCATTTGGCAAAACCACAAATCTGTATTCAGAAGTTGTCCAGGTGAAGTTACGTATGAACTCACATGCAGATATGTACAAACGTCTTAAAATAATAAGATAGCAACATCCAAACACATAACAGTATTTTTCTGAAGTGCAAGAGAAAAAGATTGTGATGTTAGAGTATAAAAGCATAATTAAGAGCTATACCAGTTGTCTGAAGGCTGCAAAAAAACGTGCTCTGACCTATTGCAGGCGTTTGTTCTAATTATTTTAGGTTGATTTTTGAAAGTGTTTAATGGGAAAGTCTTGAAACATGCAACATACTAAATTAAAGTTCACACACACCATGATGTGTGAGCCTCTGTGGTTGCCTATTACTGTTAGTATTATTATTACAATTAAATGCATAAACTGTGGATTTCAAAGGAACGGGTTTGAATATATCTACTTCACTCCAAATCCTAACTTCTGTCCCAAATAATTCACCTTTTTCCATTTCTTTTTCACATGCACTCCAGAAAAAGATGAATTGTACCTGTCAGCAGGCCCTCCAGGTCTAACACATGTTATTACAACAGGACGAGATTTATTTCTGTCATCGTGTGCTCCACCTAGAAAGGGAAAAGTGAGAGAAAGCACACCTTCATTTTATGCTTCTTATGAAAGCTCATTTCCAAGAGGCAATTCTAAATCTTGCAGCATGCACACTTACAGATGGGCTAAAAAGATCAAAAAATGGCCAAAGCCATTAATATGAACCTCCACTGAACTTTATCTTAAATAACATCGACTTACTGTATGGTATAGATGATTCTTTATAAAATATTTCTACAGAGTGATTCTTAATAAAGGCATATTCTTTTCTTTGAGCCTCTACTCCGCAAATCTGATCTCAGTGTGAAAACTTACTGTCCTGCAATTTTTGCTGCACAGAGAAAAAAACATCCATACTTCATGTATACCCAGAATAATGAGTGGCCACTAAGAAATTTATATATTAAACAAAAAAACCCCCCAGGTTTCCCTGAAGAAACTAATAATTCATCGTTGGGGTATATTATTTAACAGCTGCATGTTTTCTTCTGTTCTCTAAGTCAGTGATAACACTTCTGTTGTACAATTCAGACTATCAGCATGATTCATCAGATTTCATACCTGATTTACACAAATACTATACGCGAATCTTTTTTAAGAACTACAATCTTCCTGCTCATTTCAGCGGTAGCAGAATCTGGTCTTATGCGAAACAAAGTTTGTCATGTTATTGGCATAGTTGATTAATTATTGTTCTTCCATAAACAAAAATTAGAGTGTTTCATAAAAGCAGTACATTAATGTATGGAAGAAGTAATACATAAATCACAGAGATTTTTACAAACTGTAAGCCATAAATCTTGAAATTATTTCTTAGTGACATAAAAACTTGCTTTTTTTTGCTAATTTAGAAAATACAGCCAGTTCAAATTTAATGGTAACTCACCTCTTATTACAAATCCAAAAGTGTTCCCCTCTTTATGTAAAGTAACTTCCACAGTTCTAAAGATGAGACCTGAACCTTGTACAGCTAAAAGAAAAAAAATAAAAGAAAAAAATTCCAAAACTTAATTATTATTATTTTTCTAATTATACACACAGGTTTGCCTCTTTTCCAATTTAAGCTAGCTATTATGTTTCTGGTCATACAACTGGAAAGAATCCACTACAGAACGGTCAGATTAAAGACCTGTAATTAAATACAAGTCATTCTCTTTTTGAGAGAATTTTGGGCCAGATATTTTGCAGGTTGCCAATGGTTTGGAAAAAGAGCCATAGATGCATATAACAGATGAGGGATTTGAGCCTGACTGTTTAAATTGTGGCAAAGTTTTGCTTTTCTTATAGTTACAGAAGAGAGCTAGAAAAGATGGAAATACACAGCGAGACACAAAAATGACAAATGAAATTCTTAAAGCTACCTATGGAATTGGTTGTTCAGCCATGAAAACATTTATTTGTATTGCTTAAAGTCAAGACAGTCGAGACTTTTAGGGTGTATCTCTAATCTCAAGATTGCTAGATTAAGATGAAAAAAATATTTTGTAACATAAGATTTGTTATTTTTTTCCTTTTTCAAAATGTAACATGCGCTCTCATCATTGGTAAGCGAGTAAAAAAATCTTTGACTTCTAGTCGAGTCAGTATTTTCTCTCTAAGCACTAGAGGAGTGGTGCACAGCTGGGTTAGGAGGTGAGAAGCCTAATGCACAAACCCACACATTTCGGTGTGATAATCCACTTTACAGAATTTGAAACCACCACTGTTAAGAGACCAACAACCAGTTTACTCTTAGCTTTTACAGGGAAAACTTTGGCAGGGTGTAAGAACTCCCTTTTCCAAAGGGAAAAGGACACTGGGCAAAATCACACGCAGGCACACTTCCCAGCTTTCAGTAAGATACTGCAAACAGCACAACACACATAAAGATTAAAAAAAAAACCCTCTATAAAATAAATGTTCTGTGAGCAGCAGAATTAATGAAAACTTATGTCCTTTAATGCTCCTGCCTGCAATAATCAGTTTCCCCAGTCTCCACTAGGATACCCTGATGGGCCAATGGACACCACAGGCTACACAGCTGGGGAGGCTTGTGCTGCCACCCACGAGTGAGAAGTGGTGCCCCCCCAGTGCTGCCTGCCCCTCCTTCTGAGGACTCCCCTGGTCTGGGACTCTGTCTTCTGCACAAGTGTCTTATTTCCATGAAACGTGCTGTAATGTACTTTTTTTTTGGAGTCTTTCAATCCCCTGTTAAAAAAGTTACTGCAGGGAATCAGAAGAACAACCTCCCTTCAAAGCATTGCTTTGTATTGCAGTAATTCTTGCTATAGCCTGAAGATCAGGACCGTGTTACTGAAGTCCATGCGGCTGATTCCTTTCTAGCTAGAAATGTTTTACTGTCTGAAAAGGACCAAATTACGGGAAGGAGAAGGCAACTCTTGCCTTCATTCCTATCAACTGAAAGTGGCCCAGCACGTAGCTCGAGCTGAATCTGTGCTTCCTAATCTGCTTGGTGTGGCTTGTACCCTTCACTGGGGACAAGCAAAGCCTGTAGTTCAGCAGCGAGGAATGGCACGCAGTGTCCTTCCACTTGGGCAGCAACCATTCAGGTGGCTGTCCTTCCACCCCAGCCACAGCCTGGGCAGGGAAAGAAGTCCTTAACCTTTAGCAACAACAAAAGGCAGATGTGAGGCAGGCACGGCTCATGTTCCAGTTTGAAACATTGAGGTGGCTCATGCTGAAAATAGCAGCTGGATGCTCCTGCTGTGAACACTGCCAGACAGGGAAGGAAAGACTAGGGAGAGTGGGATTACTAGTGCTCAGCCAGATTTAATCCATCGTTATTAAAGTACTGACATTTCCCCACTCGGAAACCATGATAGTCCTCTCCTCTGAGGGGGTAACCATGGGACCAACAGTAGAATTTCATTATGTATGGGGCAGGGAAGGAAGTGCCAGGACTTCACCACGTGACCTACTGGAAAACTTCTGCGTATAATGAAGGCACTGTGTCTAGCTTGTTCACTAGAAGTTAATGGGAAAAACTAGACTACTGATTATCTCCAACTTTATTAGCTATGCTTGTATGAAGGGGTCAGAAATTCCAGGGACTTAAAGAAAAAGTTATGATTGTTACTGTAATTTAGCATGTCAAAATCCTGTTTCAATGGACAGGAGTAGCACATATGCCAAAAGCGGGTGAAACGGAAGGAAGCCCACTTGAGTAAGTGCAAAACAACGGTCATAAAACAACTACATCTCCAGCAAAATAATTCTGAACTCAGCTGACTTCATTAACTCAAATACTGTGTTTCTGAACATGAAGTTCCTTACTGCAAATGAACACTAATCAATAGAGAACATTCAAAACATATTAAGGTGTTGTCAGGAGGCCATAAAAGCAGCCAAATATATAATTAGACTAACTCTCCAGCTGCTAGAAAGCAATGGGGAGTTCATCGTCTTCTGAGCACCAAAGAGAGTGATGGATTTTTTGGCTTCTATTGCGAGGTAAGTATTTACTTAAGGAGACTAGAGCTCCTAGCTGGCTCCGCAGATTTTTCTGGCCAAACACCAGCAAACCACATCTTCCCCCTCCAGTAAGCAGCATGAAGGAGCACATGCTCTTTCAAAGGTGTGACTGGTGCAGCCCCCTTGATGCCAGACAGCCACCTGCCACTCACTCCTTCACTTTAGGTCCCAGGTTTCCAACTCACCATTTCCCTAGCTTTCACTTCATACCTGATAGCCTCAATTCCCACTGATTTTCTCCTACAGACACACAGTCACAGACATAAGTACAAAAAGAAAGGAGAGGCGAGGAAGACATTTAGTAGCACTCTGTGACTTCAGTGTCAGCATAAACCTGTATTTTGAAGCCAATCCTGCTCAGCAAGAAGCCCTTGTTTCAGTCACACAATTCTTGCAGATTTATGTATCCCCATAGCCTACCCTACCAGGTCTTCTGCTCCAGAAATGAGATGTTGCCTAAAAGTGATGTCAGAAAAGACTGGAAAAGTCCCAAAGTATGTTGTTTATCTGGGAGAGCAGGAGGGTGCTGCAAGTGGGAGAAGGAAGGAAAAGGCAGAGGCAGAACTCGCAGATATTCATTGGTCTCATCTCAGAAGATCTTACTATAACAAGAAGGATTCTCTTGCCCTGGAAATCTATTTAATCCAATTCCCAGTATTCAAAACTGTAAACAAACAAAAAAATAGTGGAGCTTGACAACTCTGCTCTGCCATTGGCTGGATTTGTGCTCCTAAAACACCTGAGCATCTCTGAGAGATCCCCCTGTACTGCCAGTTCTTTCATACTGCTTCCATGCTCTGTGATAACCCAGAGGGGGGAAAAAAAAAAAAAACAACCACTACCAAAAATGAAGATCACCAACCATGCCCATCTCACTGCTGACAACATGTCTGCCGTTCTGCATTGGTTTCAGTTTGCTCTGCTATTACTCACAGACTGGAGGCAGCTCATACTCCACTTCTAAAACAACCCTCTCGCCAACATTCTTGAGCAGGCTGATGATCTCATCATGGCGAAATTTGGTCAGGTTGATTCCATTCACAGATTTTATGTAGTCGCCTACATCCAGCTGGTCACTCCTAGGAAAAAGTACATATTCCTTTTGTAAAGACAGATCTGCTGGCCCAAACTAACTAAATCCTTTAAATTACTGTATAGTGATGGTAAGAAATATTTTTTCCATTCATCTAGATTAAAACAAGTTGATCTTTCAAACAGAAAGTGGCATTTTAAGATCTTAATCTAGTCTAGCTTGTTAAATATTAAAAGAACATTGTTGCATTATTAATTTCTGATGTACGAAAACAGCTGTACAATAAAGGAGTTGGATGATTTGACTGGTTTGGGCACAGGATCTGGGAAAACGTCTTCTTCATGTCCCCATCTTTCTCTCTCTCTTTGGGAAGTGTCCAAAACTATTTTTTTTGGACAACAGTTGCCTTCACACCTAACATCACAGCTACAGGAGATAGGCCACAGCCCAAAAGCATATGTTCTGCTCAGTTACTTGGAATGATTTAGCTTAACCTTTATCTTTTGACCTGTTTCACTCACAAATAACAGCTTTTTGGTTTCCACTGCAGTAGTAAGCAAGGTAGCTATGACTTTAGACTTCTTTTTAATCTTCAAACCAGTTGATGAACAGTTTTTTTTAAATTAAATTATAGTAGTACTATGGTTAGGTTTTCAATTTTACTTTTTCCCCTGAGTATTTTATGCTTCTTCTCTCAAGTTTTTGTTCAAGGACACAAAAAAGGAGAAATAAAATTTATATAATTTAGAAGACAGTTAATTAGTCTTATGATGACTTTCAAATATCTCATTGGTACTTCTAGTTTTTGTCAAAGTAGCTTTGAGGAAAGAGGGGCACCAGCTGTTGCCGTTTCTCTCTGAGCTTCTCCGGTCTGATGGGCTGCCATTACAGATGCATCTAGTCACATATTTGTTAGTGACCTTTCTGATGCCGTGCCTATTTCTGAAGCAATCACATCTTATAATGCATTTTGTGGCTTGAGATGTGGTTACCTAGCAGCGATTCCTCCTTGACGAAGGTTAGATACTCTTGGTTTCCCATCCTTGTCGATTCCACCCGATACTGTAAGCCCCAGGGTGGTGCCTTCTTTTTTCATTAATTCAACTATTGTTAAGCCCTTGAATTCCTCTGTTGAAAGAAAATTATTGGCATTATTAAAATTTAAGTAATAACACAGATGTTGCCTTTCTAAAATGTCACCTTCCAAGAAAATCATTGTGTATGTTAATACGAAATAACATGTACATCTGGAGATTCTTTATGTTACAATTCACAAGTTCTGTCCGCAAGGCTCTGCATATAGATAAATCTGAGACATATGTTCTGTAAAAGGTTATTAAAAACTACACCAATGTGCTAGTATACTATACAGAGCCAATAAATACAAAGTCTGGCAACACTTACAACTAAAGGCAGTTGTTTCACATTTTTAAAAAGCTATCTTTTCTCATTTTCTGCTTTCTCCCTTTGAATCCTATGTTTTATAAAGTACTTCAACTGATTAACTAAATAGAAAGGTAAAAGACACAATGATATAACAGTCCTAGAAAATTTTAGATCCAGACTCACTTTGAGGCCACTAGTAGATGTCAGTGTTAATCAAAACAATTGAACATAACAAGAATCCAGATGGACATTAAACATATCAGATCTTTAACAGTTTTATTCCTTATTCTTACACAAATAGATCTCCGCTGTAACTCTCCGAAATCTCTGCAGAACAGGTATAAGGTAAGTGAAGGGCTTTCATAGTCATAGTTACATATAAATTTTCCCTTACATGCTGTCTGGGACACCCTCTCCTGCAGTTTGCCCATTTAGCATTCTCAGAAAATGCCAACCTAATCTCACAAATGCAGGTGACCTGCAACAGAAAGCCTCGAGCTCTGAAAAGCTCTTGAAAAGAGATGTCCTTATTGCACATGGCTGAACAAGGCAATCTACGTATGCACAGTTCCAGCAGGGCTGCAACTGTTCGGAAAACCACAAGGCAATCATATCTCATGTCCAGTGTCTCGAGTCAGAGAAGACCTACTAAAACCACCAGCTGCCCAGGTGTTCTGGAAAAATACATTAAGTCCTAAAGATCCACCTAGAAAATGACGAAATCCTGGAAGGATGATCCATTTCTCTGGTCCTTTTCAGCATCAATATGCAGCTTTTAGATGAACTGGTCAGATACAAACATCATATAAGCACTGTAAATGAACAGTATGTCTGCACTGCACTAGCAATCCTGCTGCGGCACCATGAGATTTAAGATGAAAAGCCATCCAAAAAATAAGAAAGTTCCTTGTATACATTCCTATGTTCACCAGTAAGATCTAGAATAAGCACTATACAAACAGCAACAAGGCTCTATCAATACCTTTCCATATGACTGAGAAGATGACCTAATACATCTTGACCTCAAGATAAAGAACAGCCTCAAGACGAAGAACAGCCGTGAATGAGAATTGCCAAACCTGAGCAAAACGGAGATAATGGCAGAGGAAAGCATTCAGAAGAGCCTCCAGCCCTGGTGGAGTATCCTGTAAACCCTGGTTGTACTTCTAATAGGGTTAACTGCTTTTTGCAGTTAACTGAATTTTTGCAGGTGTAGCATCATCCTATGCAATGTTCCTGCTCCTTTCTAGGTGGCTGACAGGCTCTTCTTTCCATTCTAGGTGATGATGACCTCACTTCAGTTATTATTTGGCATCATTTGGAAGCTATTGAGCTTCCACAATGTTTGCTCACATCTGGCCTTTTTGACAGTTCAGAAAGAACAGATGCGATTACCTGCATCTGAACGTGTAGACATGTTGCATAGCTGTAGAAGACACTATGGACCAAAATGCTGCTTTCAGTTTTATAAAAACCCACAGATATTCATAATTATTACAAGAGTTAACCATGGTACTCACCGCAAACAAAAATACTGTACATTTGCACCCATGATGCAACCTCAGGTGCTTGGCTGGTGTTTATTCAGGGTTTACTCGATCGTGAGATCTGGAGTCAAAAGGAAAATTCCCCTGTCTCCCTCACCTCCCAAACTGAATCCTTCCTTTGAACTCCTCAGTAGTACAATCTGGTTCTCAGGACCATCTAAGATTTTTTTTTTTTAACAAATACTTTGCTAGAACAAAGTACAGGATACAGGACATCAACAATGCACTGCACATGCCTAATCCTTTGCCATAGCATGATACTACCATGTGTTTTGATCTTTTATATAGGTTCTGAGTTTGCAGTCCAGTGCTGGGGAATACTCTGCTGCCTGAAGTGACGTGTAGAACAGATAATCCATGCAGTGTTTTAAGCTAGCTAATGATTATACAGTTCCCTGCAACTACTGGCATGGAAATTAATGACCAGGCTTGCTCCTTCTCACCATCTACTCTACAAGCTTCTGTATACCTCTGCCAACAGAACACAGACCTCTAAACACTTTTTCTTGGGAGGCAGGAGGGAAAGATGTACCAACACTGTAAGGGAGTGGTAGTGTGAAATGCTCAGTGCTAACTGACAGATAAGGTCATCTAAGAGTACACAACAGTTTCATTAGGTTTGCACCTCTGAAAGATTTTGTAGCTTGTGTTGTATGTCATCATAGCAGGAAGAAATTAAACTACCTAAGCTGGTTTGGCTTATAAGAGACTGTTATCCCTGGAAGTGCTCTGAACAAGGCCCATTTGATACCCCAGTCTCTCCATTTTTCATTGCTTTCTTAAATTGCACATGATTACTGTTCTTATAATGCTGTATATTACATGTTTACTCATCTGCATTGCTTTGACATTATTATTACAGACATTATTATAAATGCCCAATATCAGAACAATCCTGGGACTTCATTTCCAATCCAACAAGCAACCGCATCTGAACATGCTATTCCCCAACTAATGCAAGGTCAGTCTGTATTCTCTAGTTAACACAATACTATGTTAGTCTTTGTGGGTTAAAAATCAAACTACTTCATGTACCACCTCACTCATAATTAATTACTTATGCCAACCAGCAAACTCCTAACTAGAAGTCTCTGGCGCCTGTTCTCTCCTACATGTACTCCCACATTGCTAATAACATTAGCATAGCCAGCATCAGAAGAGAAGGCAAAGAAGTTATTTCCAGATTTCTTATAATTTATGAGTAAAACAGGAATTGAATTTACAAGTCTTTTGCTTAGTGGTAAAATAAATATAGAACATGAGCTTAAGAAACGTCTTCTTATTCCCTAACAGTTTATGAAGTATCAAATATCAATACACGCTCTTGCAGTACAGCTCTGTGATATGAACCAAATGAATTATTATAAAATGAAACCATGTAGAGAAAAGATGGTTCCAAGTCTATAAAAAGCCCAAATCAATACCATTTTACACTTCAGTTGGAGAAACGCACTTGAGAACTTCTTCCCCTCCCACCATTAACAACTCCAGCAGCACACAGCAAAACGCAGCTTACAGGGGGTCCTGCCTTCCCTCGGCCTGAGGAGGGTTTTGGGTCTCTGGGATCAGCATCCAGGACTGCCATCATCTCCTGCTGCTGCAGGGGCGATCCTGAGCACACATCTGTCCATGCAGCACTAGTCACCCTACAGCTTTGCTGGCATCCACCTCCCTCTGGTACAAGGCTCAGGAATCTGCTGAAGACTGGAGAGGGGCTTGGCAAGGGGAGTGCAAACATGCATACCTGTACAGACACACATGCAGACATAAGATGGAAAAGAGGCATTTGGACAATGCCTTTAATAACATGATTTAACTTGGGCAGCCCTGAATTGGTCAGGCAGTTGGACTAGATGATCGTTGTAGGTCCCTTCCAACTGAAATACTCTATTCTACCGTATTCTATTCTATTCTAAAAGAAAGGTTCTGATCCACAGAGCTTCGTTTAGATCTCCAGTCCTGTAAGATGGAGCATTTGTAGCAGCTGAACTCTAAAGAAAACATTATGCTGCTGTCGTTTTTTTAATTCCTGGTCTGGATGCTTCTCTTAGGTTCTCTGTGTGCCTGACTTGCAGCAGGGTCAGTTGGTGTAACAAGACTATGATCTGCCCTGCAACCTAGAAGACTACAGGGATACTCAATATAGGACAAGAAAACTTCAGAGATAAGCAGGTGCTCAAATACAAGACTGGGTAAATCTTACTGTAAGAAGATGAATAAATGGAACAACTTGCAGCGACGTAAAATCCAAGAAACACCATGTAAAATTAATTTTTCTTCAAGGAAAACAGTATCATGATGAAGTTCCTAGAATTTTATACATGATCAGACTTTTTGTAATTTCCTCCCTTTTGATGTTGTAAATAATATGTTTCAATGAATAAAAACCATGAAAAATAAATTGACTCATGAGATTTTTGAACGTGGAATATATTCGCTTCTTCAAAAAGAAAATTAAATACTAGAATACAGAAGAGATTTTTTCACTGAACGACATTTGAAAGCTGAGAGAACTCTTAATCAAAAGTTTTATCACCTATTTTCTATATTCCTACAATTTTGTATCTTAATTTACTTATTAAATTAAAACTGAAAAACAGTTCAGGGATGCCTTCATTCCAGATATTGAGTATCTTTTCTGTCCCTTCTGTGAAAATTTCATTTTAAAATCCAAGAAAACTCCTAAAATCTACACAATCAGGTCAAGTGCCTGTATCCTCCACGTAGTGAATGAGTTTGTTCAGTGAAGCCGGAACAGGGCATAAATGGAACTTAACCTAAAAGTAAAAAAATACTTGCTATTATTGATTGTTTCCTACCAAAAGACATACATAATCAATAAGTAAGTAATTGGTAAGTCTGTTGAAAATACAGTCAATGCTGTCCTTGTATGGATTTTCCCTGTATGTCAGCAGAAATTCTGCAGAGGAAACATTTCGCTTTACATTCCAGTAGGCATCTCACGGCTTAATAAGAAATCACATAAAGATAAAGTCAATTTTCAAGAAACAGATAGCAGTTTGTTATACTGGGGACGTCACATCTACTCAATGTTTCAAGTCCTGCGGGTAGGTGTATTTCTCCGAGTGTGACAAGAGGGATGTCAAGAGCTGATGAATGCTCCATTCCTTGTTGCCCTTTTCCTGACTGGCTGTCACTAACTCCTAAATCACCTAAATTTTTATTAAAAACAAG